TGAAACCAGGAGATGTCCTTACTGAATCATCAGAGCTGAACAGTGATGGAGAAACAGGTTTACCTTTTAGGTGACATGAATGAGTTGAAGGGAAGTTATGAACTGTTTCCGAGAGACAAATAACACCAGGATCCTTTTCTATGTAGCTGACACCTGGTAACTGTGCAGGGGTGGATCTAGGAAAGTTTTGCCAGGGGGGCAGGTAGGGCATTAACAGGGAGAGGGGGGCACAAAGAAATACTTTTCTTTCTTATTCTCATTTAAAATATCTAGCTTTTATTAAATAATTATCTAAATCTTACAACCAAAGTTTTTATCTGATGTAAAGTGTATAGAAATCATACATATACCAACAAGACTGTACATCACTGTCACAACAGGGTCTGTTTTCAGTCAAAGTCTTTATGGCTTTAATACCTGGTGGGCCGGTCTGTAGTCAAAATGCCCGATTTTCTGTCCCAGTCCAGCCCTGCAGGTTAATACTGGCAGTGTCACCATGCCAGCTGACTGTATTTCATCATCAGCCAGTGTTGTTCTTTATACATCAATATTACCAAAGTTTACCATAAGGCAGCATAGAAAGTATTTACTTGCTTTCAGATTTTATTCAAATGTTAGTCTTTTCAGTTGTTTCCCCACTTTTTTCCTGTTTCAAAATCAAACATCAGTTTGTGAGAAGATTATCTTCTTTTTTTAATAGGCAGATAAAGTTTTACATTGGAACTGGCTAATTTGTCAATTGTTTGTTACAAATGTTCGTATTTTAATATTAAAAAATGTTTTTTGCCCAAAACATATGTGCACTATATGTCAGTAAAAATACTATGCAAATATTGCTGTCCTTGAATGCTGAGTAAACACTGACAAAGCAATGATTGTATCTCTTGTACTTTATCAACACAGTATCTAAAAACTTTGCACCGTAGTGGTTAAAATCTCATTCTAATAAGAGTTAAAAGCGCATTCGGTTATTAGGTTTATAGGATTATTGAATTATGGTGAACGGTTGGTAGAATTTTTTTTTAAACATTATCTGCCAATTACATCTGCCACCCTTCTCCAAATCTGTGCCCCTACCTGGTCCCCCCAACAAAAATTTTCTAGACACGCCACTGATTATATAAAGTCCAGCAGGTAAGCAGAGAGCAACTGTTCTTTGTGTACTTCACACTGAAAACAAGCTGTGACATGAAACAAAAATGTTTCATTTTTTTTTTTTTCAATGTCCATAGAGCCATTGAAAAGGCTCTGGAAGTCTCTGTATAAGCACGTAAAACTGTGACACAAAAAATTCACAGAACTCGGACATGCACAAAATGTTTCACATTCATGTGCTGTCTGATTGGATTGTTGAATTTGTGATTGACATGACATTGACCAATCAGCTGAAAAGAAGAAAAAATTGTGTTAAAATTCGTACTCCTAAGTTGAAAGTCACACGCAGCCAGGGAACCTGAGGACAGAGTTTTACATGTAGTTTTTTGCTTTGTATCTGTAACCAGACCTTACCAAAAACAATTTGTAACTCGTGTAAATATTTTTTACAAACACACATATTCTCATTTATAGATGCACAAACATAAAAATTTCAGATATTTTAGTTTACACAGTTACAAAACTCAATTCATATTTGCATGCATTTGATTTACAAGTACAAAATATTTATGACCACAACTTGAGCCTATATCTGTGTTTGTCTGCATCTTCAAGGCGTGTTGAGGAGGTAATTTTGCCATTTAAATCAGCTGTGTTGGATCAAGAACACATCTAAAACCTGCAGGTCACCAGCACTCGAGGCCTGGAGTTGCCTACCCCCCTGGGTCCTCCATTCCTGCCTGCTGCACACAACAAACATGACAACTAATATTTTTTCAGTTACAGTCTGACTTCCAGTTTCTACATATTCAGTCCATTCTGCCAACTCTAAGATTGCACTTTTTTATGTATGTTAGATCTGTGGTCTCATGTTTTCATAAGCATCAAAGGGCTCAGCCACACCTCCTCACTGAGGTAAAGTTTTAGTTCTTCCTCTCTCAGACATGCTCTGATAGGTTTAGGAAATCTCTCTTAGTGATAATAATAACAACTTATTATTATTTGGGACATTTTGAATGAAGGGTTTGCATATTTTAATATCATGTTGGGTATAATATATAATAATATATAATAAGAACCATTCTGATTTTCACTCAAACAAAAAAGTTCATGTGACAGTCATGTGTATATATATTTAAAATTCTGCTGATATCAGTAATCATTATTACCGTAGGTGCATTTTCTTTAAGCATTCACATGTTTTCTATCTAAATGCTAACAAAGCACATTTTTAAACCACAAGCGGACTTTCTGATCAGCTGAGCTGAGTGCAGCTGATCAGAAAAATGCTGAGAGAGCGCTTCCCGCACATGACAAAACTTTGGCGCTTTACTTTGGCAGAAGATCGTGATCAGACACAAGCAAACATGCAGACCGCGTAGTCCACAGGAGAGAAATAAAAAGTAAAACGTGTTTGTCACAGATGGAGTACAATTCAAAGATAAAAAACAGATCAAATCTGTTCTGTACATACGATCATGTTTTTAAATGTTTATTCCGTTAATAAAAGAGCGTGTTTTGTGTAAAACGCGAACAAAAACACACATCCTTAAATCAAAATCGAGAAACGATGTTTTGAAAACGCTGATAATCCCCCTACAGTTACGCTTATAACAGCGAGGGAAGAAAACTGCCCTTTACTTGGATTTAAGATTAAAGACTAAATATTAGCAGAATTATGAATCTGATTAGTCACGTAGGTCAGCTGATGTGACGTATCAGATATGTTGGGTTGGTAGAAGCTCATTACACACATAAACGTTTGTAAGATTGGCCACTCCCACTGGGGGGTGGCTGCTACTCTTGGCTTTTGCGTTTGGCTTTTGACTGCAAGCACCGCCCCTCTTGTTCTACATTTATACACAACAACAGGCTCGAGCAGAATACGTGGTAATCCATTTTCTCATCATACAAAGTTCTGTTGTTCCACTGGCTGCCTTTTCACACTGGAGGTAATTATTATTATTATTATTATTATTATTATTATTATTAGTAGTAGTAGTAGTAGTAGTAGTAGTAGTAGTATCATTAATATTATTAATTACAATAATAATAAGATATTATTTTCTTGAATACTATTAAAGATATTTTGGGTTGATGACCCTTCGTCTTGATGCCAGAGTGAAAAAGAAACTGAAAAAGTAACAAAGTCATGTGTGTCACACTGTTTGTGGCGTCTGTGGCCTTCAGAATGTCAGAGGAAATGAAACTGTACTTTACCAAAGTTATGGAGTGTGTATTTGAAGGGAAACCCAGGCATTTTATTCAAGTATTATATGCCCTGGCACAAAAACAGTTTTACTGCATATTCTCTGGAACATGTTTGTGCTTTTATTCTCTGTTTAAAGAATTAAGATTGATTAGTTTGTTTTTTGGAAGCCCTCAGAGAAGGAAGAATCAGACTTCAACTGTCCAGACTCAGGACTGATGACTCGAGTCAGTAGCTGTGTGAGGTGACAACTAGTGACAACTAAAATAACAAATTCCATTCCCCCGCATGCTCCAGAGTAGTGGTATGACCCAATTTGCAGATTTCCACATAGGCTTGCTCTGACTGTTTTCCACCTTTTAGCTCATCAACCAAGGAACTGGGAGCAGCTGCCACTGAGGTAAATCAGAGAACAAAGAAAGATTAAATAATACATATGCAACAGTGGAAACTAAAATGTGCACAGATTTTTAGAATACAGTTTAATGTGATTGTATAAGTAAATTAATGCTAAACCTAAACCAATTCTTTATTACTCTGTAAATTAAATCCTACATATAAAGAACGAAACCTGTATGTGTAGTGTTATGGTTAAGCCTCTACTGCAACACTGATGTTCAATAGATATTACCACTCTGTAGCTGTAACTGCAGCCATCACAAGTATATCCAGTTATCCTAAAATTAACATTAAAAATGTTTTAATTTCTTTTTTTCCCCAAAGGTTCTGCTTTTTGTATTGGTTTACTTTACTGTAGCATTCTTGTAAAATAAAGTTTTTGTTTATCCAATTTTATTACATGGAACTGTTTTTGCTTGCAGCCAGACTTCAGGAATAAAGTCAATTTTCGCATAATCAATAGTAGATAAGTTTAAAGGACTGCCATGGCACAGGATATGTAAGTATCTACACTTCAGTGGATACACACAACAATTAAAAAAACCTAAATACTGGTCAGTTTTTCAAAAGGTATACTGAGTGTCATTGTGACTATAAAAATAAATATACAGTTTGTATGTACTCAATTTCCATATCTTTAAAAAATGTATGCACATTATATGTCACTCATCCAAGTGACTTCTTCAGTCATATGCACATTAGAGATGGATAAATAATAACATTCGTTTAAATCTATTGCAAAGTTAGCAAAAAGGTGTGTACAACCTTGTGACAGTATGAAGTGTGTGAAACATGATACTTGATCTTGGCTTAGTCAATCTCCTAACAATTAATTGCAACCATTCACAACCACAGACTGGTCTGCTTCATCACAGTTTTCTCCTCTCTGAGCAAATGTCAAGTATAGTGTTGAAGGTTAGCGCTCCAGGATTACAGACAACTTGACATTAACCAAACAACTGCAGATATTCCTTTAAATGTAACTTTACTGACCTTTTTCCTTTGTTTAAAAGATGGATGCGTGGTTAGCCCTGGCAGAACTCATAGTTAGCAACTGGATTTCTGGAGCAGTGTCTACGCAATGTCATGAAAAAGGCTTCTTCTATCAGGAAGAAGAATTCACTAAAGGACCAATAGAAGATAATTTGTTTCTGCTTTTTGCAGCAGTCTAAAGTCTGTTGATGGCAGCTTCAAAGCATTTTTTGTTTTTGATGCAAGTTACCCAAAGTGACACGCCCAGGTTTCGGAATTCCTTCACACTGTCATCTATCCCAGGACATGAATCAAATATGTTGATCATAAAGGTGCATGAAATGATCTGAGAGGGAGATGCCCTCTTGCCACTTTTCCAAAGTGTTGATGTATGTTAAGTACTGAGATAATCATCAATTCATCAGTTTTTTTTTTTAAAGTTCTGAGTTTTTACATGTAATTTGTTCTTGTGTATTAACATGTACATGTGCTGTAGCCAAAGACTGATTTGAAGTAATCGATATAATATAATGAATTATATACTTTTTTTTTTGTTACTTGCATTTTACTTTCATTGATTTATTTTTCATCAATGTTGCTGTCTATGTTCATATGTTCATGTATCATATGGCAATAAAAGTAGTTTTGAGAAAATCTAGTTTTTATATTCTGAATTTTAAAGTTAGCAGAAATATTAATTCAAATGCTAATGGTAATATATGCTGAGTTTTGAGTCAATTTTGTATATTAGCCTCAGCTGTAAACACTGGTCAATTTAACCCAATTTTTGGATAGTTATTCTAACCCAGCGTCCTGGGTCAAACCAATAACCCAACCCTGTTAAGTCGAAACAACCCAGCATTGTTTCGGTCCATATTTGACCCAGCACTGGGTTACAAATTGGGTTATTTTTACCCCTGCATTTTTCAGAGTGTACACTTGTGTAACACAAAAATGAGACTCTACAGAAACAAATATTCAGAAACATCTAAATTAAATCTTCAGTTTAGAGCAGGTAATGTCACTGATCAATCTTCCTGGAGCACCGCAGAAATCAAAGTTGGTTTTGCATGAGACAAACACCGCAACTGTAAAGCCAGTTACTGAAATGAACAGAAAGGCATGAGGACAAAGCAAAAAGGGCAAAAAAAAAAAAGGCAAAGCAGCAGCTCTTCTGTAAATATAGCTGCCCTGTTGAAAATCTGTTAAATGTCCATTCAGGCCTAGAATTCTGATCAAACGGCATCACCGAATTCGGTAACAAAGAGGCCAATAAGAGGCTTCTGAAGCTACAACCAGCAATCGATGGATGGCTTCAAAGGGAGAAATCTGCAGTAAATCTCTACAAAAACATGAGTAGCACTAATCAGCAAAAATGCAGCAAGTTCAAACTGAGGCAGCAGGGACGTGTGTGACCGAAGGCCCGGATGCGTATGGCATGGTGAGTGAGGGTTATTCAGCGTAGCAACATGTGATTGGCTTTTTAAATTTTTTTTAAATTTCAGTCTGAATGTTTTACTCATAATCTACAGTCTAAATCTGGAGTTGGCGTGATTACATTTTAAATGTTGTAAAGTCCTGCAGGTAAAAAGAGAGCAGGTGTTCTTTGTAGTAATGCTTAATGTCACACGATTTCGCACTGAAATATTTTTTTCTGTATTTCTTTCTTTTTTAAAACATTGCTCTCACTGAAGGTTTGTATATTTCTTGCTCTTGAACATATGCTGCTTCTCATCTTGGATGTCACACCCCTGAAAACGGGGGAGAATTACGTGAGTTATTTTCAGTTTCTTCTCTCATGGAGTAGTTTAATGCAATCAAAAATGAACATAAGTATTTTACAGGACTGCGTGCATTATCTAACTGCAGAAAAGCATTAGATGATGAACTATACAACTAAAGGGTAAATAGAAAAATAATTAGTATAAAAACAAACAAGCAGAGGCACCTTTATCTGAAGCACAAGCTCAAGATTTCCATCAAAGCCTCCTCACCCTGTGGTCTTGGGCTGAAGAGGTTGGATTCTGTTGCATTTGTACAGAACAGAACAGAATAGAATCGTGTTTATTGGCCAAGTATATGTGCAGACACATACAGGGAATATGGTTCCGGTAGATGGTGGCTCTCAAGCACAGCAATGTAAATCTCTCACACACACACACACACACACACACATATATACATATATATATATGCATTACACATACATATGCAAAGCTGTGTAAACCAACTATAAATAGCGAATCTAAACTTATATACATAAAATACAGAAATGAATGAGGTGGAATGAATACTACAAAATGTACATAAGGTGCAGCTGCAGTCTGGCAG